GATTTGGAGGGAGAGGAGTGGATGGAATTCAAGAGAGGGAGTTGAATCATAAAATTGCTATTAAATTAGTAGAGAAAAATATCAAAAAGTAAATGGTAAAATAGAGAGATAAACATTAAAAGTAAATGGCAAAATAGACAGACGAAATTTCTCCTTATTGTGTCTTTTATATATAGTAAAGATGTATGACACGTGAGGCTGAAATTAAATTTTAATTTCAATATGATATAAATTAGAATAATAAATTGAATGGAATAATGAGGAATGAAGTTGAGAAATAAATATTCAATTTTTTAAAAATTTAATTCAATTAAACTCAAAATGACTTACCAAATTTTGGGTGTGCAAGTTGAAAACAAAACAAAAAATAATTTTAGATTAAATTTGATTATTTAATTTTTAGAAATGATAAAGTAGCTACTAAATTAGGTGTGAAAGTAGAAAAAATAAATTCTTTTTAGATCTAAATTATTAAAAAAGTATATTGATGGCTACCATGGTATGGTGTGAAAATAAAAATAAAAAATTCAAAAGAATGATTATAAATAAAAAATAAAATAAGAAGATTCGCCCTCTTGGTTTTTTCTACCGTCTCTCTTTCTCGCTATCACTCTCGTTCTCGGTCTCTCCCTGCTTCTCGCTCTTGCTCTCTGCTTTTCCACTTTCTCTCCTTGTTTCTTGCTCGCTCCCCGCTCTCCCACTTTCTCTCGCTTACTCTCTTTCTCGCTCACCCTCTTAAAAAAATATAGGTAAGAAATTTTCTCTCTCATCCACACCAGTTAAGAGGGAATCTGAGCAAGATGGATATGAGCGTGGGTTTACGGGATCCGTCGCCGAAGAAGGAACTCACAGATTTTGAGCTTGGGTAAGTTGGGTAAGTTGTCGGAAAGGGCAAAGTCGGTTGCGGGTGAAGACACCACTGCATATAACCGCAACAATGACCGTCCTTGCTTCGAACCGCCGCTAGTCACCTACGAAAGAGGGATTTTGCTGGAAGAAGATTTGAGGAATCCATTTGAAAATATAGGGAGAAACGGAGGGAGAAGAAGAATGGAAAATATTCAAGGAGAGAAAGAGAGAATAAAAAGAAAATAATAATGGTAAAGTGTGATTTAAATAAGTAATTTCCCCTAAAATGTGACACCAGAAGATAGAAAACTTATATTTTGAAAGTTGGCAAAAAAGAAAAAAAAATCATTCACCCAAAAAGGGGTCATTCCTACCGTTCCATGTTAATTTTAATTTATTATACTCGTCATATGTTAATTTTAATGAGTTATAATAAATGGGGGAGGAAGGAAATAAATGACACTTTAAATTTAATTTATTATGACACTTTTAAGATTTTAATTTAATATATAATTAATTAATGGTTGATTTTTTTTTAAGTACAATCAATATCAATGTAGGACGAGGGGATTGAACTTTCAACCGCTAAGAAAATAGTAAAGTGCTTTAACCGTTGAGTCGAGTTCGTGTTGACAATTAATAGTTGATTATTAACGGTAAGCAACATGCTAATTTGTAAGCTAATGTAATAGAAATTGTCTACAGTGGGTCTAATAATAGATGGTATTTCATGAATATTCCTTATTTAATTATTTACAAATCTAGATCTCAATATTTGAATTACAAATTTCTGGTTCTTGTCATAAATTAATACCAATAGTTTTCTCAAAAAATAATAATAAAAATAATAAAAATACCAATAGTTACATTTATTATACAATTTTTAATATAATTCTTTCCTTATACATACGTAATTGATTACCATCAATGTTATATTTGTTTTTCTTACTACTAGATGTGGGATGTGAAATTGAACTCATAATCTCTTGATTGAATATGTATACCAATTACCGCTGAACTAGAGTCGCTTTGACATATTTGTTAATTAATATAGAATATTTAATATTAAAGGTTATATCTTTTATTTAAATGTAGTTTTTTTATTTGAATGGGATATATTTAATATCCATTCAAAATTTTCTCATTATACGGGTGTATTCAAAATTTTCTCAAACTTTCCCTAAATTCAAACGTTTTTCTTAATATTGTGGGCAACGATTATTAAAGAATTTTCCAATTTTTCTTCAATTTCAAACGTTTTTCCTAATATTACGGGTGCGACTTTTTCATCTTTTCCAACGACTCATTAATTTTTCTGACGTATTTATTAAGTATTGTTGTATATATCTTCTATTATGATATATACTTCTTTAAAAGTCGAATAAGTAGTACTTCTTTTTCAAAATCTTTTTCATCCCAGGAACATTATATAATATATACCATTTAATATGCTCTACTGTATGATAAATATATATACGTCCAATGTTATATATAAAAATATTAAGTTATATAATATACATCTTAAAGTAGATGTGCCGTATAATCCAAAATATACTTCATATACCGATATGGAACATATACCCAATATATACTCTGTAACAACACAACATCCCTCCCCTTGTCGGTGACGATCTCTGACGACCACACCATCCCGATGGCCCATCAAACCACAAACATTAGCGACCAAGGAACCTCATTGACAATGCACGATGACGTGACAAAGAGATTCAACGACTCAGATGTGCGACTATTTCTTCCTTTGGCGACCCTGCAGCAAAGGCGGCGAAACCAAAGACGACCACAAACGGCGATCTGCAGCAACTTGCGACGCCCGAACCAAATTTGCAACCTCCGACGACACTCCATGAATAACAGCCCACGTCGACATGGCTCTCTTACGGTGATGCATCTTCTCAACAATGCAACCCCAGCAGTGCGACACCACAATTGCTGTGGCTGGCGATGATCTTCTTTGTAGCGGCTCACCTTGCGACTAACGTCTAGACCTCTGACAATCTAATATGTAACCTCGAGCTCAGATTTTCTAGAGAGGGGTGAGATGGAGGGAGGGAGAGAAATAGAGAGAGAGGTATGTGGGTTTCCACTAAGAAAGGTAAAGAGATTAAAGTTTCAACAATTTGGGGGTAAAAAACACCACGTATAGGAAGTTGATTAAAATTTGGTGGTTTGGTTTTTTGTAAATTGTTTATTATAAGTATTGGAGGTTTTAGACATTTAGGTAATTAGGTATCTTAAAATGGTCTAATTGTATAATCACCTGTAAATATAATTAAAAAAAATACTTGATATTCTTAATTAAATTATAATTCTAAAATATATACATATGTAAATATAATTAAAAAAATACTTGATATTCTTAATTAAATTCTAATTCTAAAATATATACATATACATACACACATATATATATATAATTAAAAGGCAATCATACTTGTTGAGGGTAAAAATCAAGCAGCACGCGTGTCCACCTCAGAGGAGGGACGAGACCACATACAGTACATATCATATGGGGACGCTATTGAGCAGGATGCGTATCCTCCCGTAGAAGGGTGCAAGACCACACACGGTTACATGTCGTGCAAATTGGCAGTAGGAGACACGCATTTCCAGTACGAGTGGCGCATCTCTCAATTGCAAGCGACAAGCCTTAGAGCTGCAGGAGTAGCACCACCTGCCAGCTATCGGATCGTACACCCTCGACAGTCACAATACCACATAGCACGCTCCTGCCACCTCTAACCGTCGTTCTTCCTGGTCAGTCGTCCGAGGCTGCATAAGGAAGGACCCACACCTTTGTCAAGTAAGTGAAAAACTTGTCACTCACACTTAAGGTATCTTTTTCCTACTTTGATTACATACTTGACCGTCGGAGTGTTTTAGGCGAGACACCGCACCGACATTGAGTTCTTTGTTGCAGGTCTTTCAGTTCTTAGGCGAACCTACCCCGAAATTTGCCGTCAACAATATACAACTATTCATATTCTAACCTTTTTAAATGATGTTTTGTGATTAAAATTAAATACATTTTTCAAATAGTTAAACTCTTAAAATGTCAAAACTCTTTGATCAATTAAATATAATACAATAATTTTGAATTTATCTATATAAAAAAAACTTTTCATATATAATTTTTCTTTTTTTTTTTTTTGAAAAACAAAATAGTACCACTTCATTGATAATAATTATTATTATAAAAAAAACATGGGTTACAATGGAAAAGTTAGCCCAAATTTGACTAGGCAACCAAATAGGAGGGTCATTAGCCCAACAAAGAGTTTCTAAAAAATTGATGGCTTGGCGTGCTAGATCATGAGCAGTTTCATTTAGATCTTAATTGTGTAGTCGAGGGTCACAATACAATAAGTGATTTTTTTAAAAAAATCACCCTTCAACTATTTAAAAATCAATTTATAGTGATTTTAAGTTTTTCTAAAATTAATTTTCTAATTTGTCAAACATGATCCATGTAAATGTAATGAGTTTGATAATGACAAAAGTGATTGTCATGTCAAAATCACTCTTAAATAGAGAGATGATAAAAAAATCCGTAGGACACGATCCCTATAGGTACCTGATCCAATCAGATCTGGGAATCCCTAGTTTGACCTGAGACGGGTCAAACCGAGGATCCCAATCGGGCGAAGACGGGGAGGATTCCCCGCCCTATTTAATATTTTATTACTTTTTCTATTTTTTATGTAATAATATTAATATATATTAATTTTATAAATACTTTTTAATTTTTTTTAAAAAAAAAAACTCAAACTAACATCCCATCTAACCACTTTTTGTTCGCTGTAATAACAAAAATTAATTGAAAAATTAAAAAGTCTCCGCCCCCAAAATTTCGGAGACAGGGTGGGGATGAGGACAAAAATCCCCAACGAGTAGGGATGGGGATGGCCCCGACGCCACCTCGACCCGATGCCATCCCTACTCTAAAACACACCCTAATTCCCATAATATCAATTTTTTCATATCACCGAGTGATCTCTTCTATTAAAACTACATAGGAGAGAAAATCTCAATTTTTCCTCTCTAAAATCTGCACTAGAATCAGATCCAATTCAGAACCATACCGACAATCAGACTCAGTAATGCTCCATCCAAATTAAAAGTAAAAGTAAGTCTGAACAACAAACGCCAAATTTATAATTCATAGAATGGAAGTTTCAAGATCAACACTAAGTAGAACAGACACGCCGACACGAATATAGTTCAATTAATCAATACATCACTTACATTCCTAAAAGTCGGGTTGGGATCAGAGCTTGGCAAAAACAGGGTTGCGTTTATGAACATGGGCGGAGACTGCCTCTTTGATATCATCTGAGAACAGCGTTGCTGAGTTCCAAGTGGCCACATAATCCAAGGCTTGTTCCACGCTCAGGTCCCTGCTCTTTAGTAACACTGCCTTCGTTCCCACCACAGCCAGGGGAGATTTTGATGCTATTTCTGCTATTTCACCACTCATTAATTTCTTCTCGATTTTTCTAAAATTAATTCTCTCTTTTTTAATAGGACCAAATAAAGACGTTTTGGACTAAAATAATATTTAAATTTTAAATTTCTCCTTAAATAAATTATATAGGAAAGTTAGAGTAAGTCCATCCTTTTACCTAAAATCAATGTCAAGCTAACATGGGTGACCAGAAAAATTAATGGGACATGTGGACAAAAATACATTTAAATCCATTTTTTGGGTCCAGCTAATGGTTCACGTCCATATTTAACAAAATAGACTTATTAGAAAAGAGTCAAAATTTAAAAAGAAAACTAACAATGTAATTACAACTTTTTAAATTTTAAATATTAAATAGACACAAACTTCAGGATTATATATAATTTAACCTAAATATATATTACAGATTCAATAAGTTACCAATTTGTTTTTTAAAACTTTCGATTTAATCATATAAATTGGTTTAAAATTTTCAATTTGGTCATTATGATTGGGTTAAATTTAGATATAACTATAGAGGACAATGATTGAGATTTGACAAAAACTATAGAACCAAATTAAAATTTTTAGAATCATAAAGATTAAATTAAGGTCAAGTCCAAACCATAAGAGTCAGTTTAAATTTGTAATTTAATTAACACTAAATTTACAAAATGATCCTAATTCTTTAGTTAATTTTCAATTTTGTCTTTAACCTTTTAATTTCTCGACGTTGATTTCATAAAAAAAAAGTGTTAAAATTTGTGATATACTATAAATTATTATCTTATTAATATATGTGGACACGTGAAATAAAAAATTAAAAAAATATTAACAATAGTTTAAGATATTGGAAAATACATAACCAGGATTGGAAATGACAAAAATAAGAAAAAGAGAAAAAAAAATTACCTTCAGCAATTTTGGTCACTCCATTGTCGAGATCCTCCTTGGAAGCGAACGATTTAGAAACGAGGCCCAATTCCTTAGCCTCCAGGCCCGAAAAGTTCCGGCCGGTCAACGCCAATTCCGCCGCCCTCCCGTACCCGACGATCGCCGGCAGCCTCTGCAGAGTCCCAAGATCGGCGGCGATCCCCAAATTAACCTCCTTCACCGAGAAATACGCCTCCGCCGTGCAGTA